GCAGCAGCAGCAGCAGCAGCTACCAAGCAGCAGCAGCAGCTACCAAGGAGCAAGCAGCAGCAGCAGCAGCAGCTACCAAGCACAAGCAGCAGCAGCAGCAGCAGCAGCTACCAAGCAGCAGCAGAGCAGCAGCAGCAGCAGCAGCTACCAAGCAGCAGCAGAGCAGCAGCTACCACGCAGCAGCAGCAGCAGCAGCTACCAAGCAGCGGCAGCAGCAGCAGCTACTAAGCAGCAGCAGCAGCAGCAGCTACTAAGCAGCAGCAGCTAAGCAGCACCACCAGCTACCAAGCAGCAGCAGCAGCAGCTACCAAGCAGCAGCTACCAAGCAGCAGCAGGGAAAGAGGGAGCTTTCCTTAGAGTCTTTCGTGCCCCAACATTTGGTCTCGAACAATAGCACATATAGGTGCTGCCTGAGTAATTGTAGAAGGGCGCCGTGGAAAAGACAGATATATCTGATATATTTGTTTTTTAACTAATGAATGCTGACGATGCAGCCAGCAGCGGTGTGCATGATTGACATCTAGGGGTTGTATGCGAACATGGAACGAAGACTCCGTCGCAACGCTTGTGCATGCTCCCTGTCACTCGAACATGGAACGCGGACTACCATGAGTGAAGCAAACAGCCCGTTCAAACATCTGACTGGGTTCTGTCATTCATGTGTGAAGTAAGTATCATCTTTTGATCTGCATGGATAGTGGATAGTGCATTCTGATTTGTACTCTTGGGTTGTGGGGTGGGTACATGCCTGTACAAGCTTCTTAAGGATATAATGAAATTAGCATCGTTTCACGACTCAGAGGGAATGCAACTACTCTTGCTCGATTCTAACGAATAGGCTTTCTTCAGCACCAACAGCAGCCAACAACCCCAAACAGCAACAGCAGCAAAACGGAGCAGACAACAAGCAGCAGGCAGCCATGCAAGCAGCAAGCAGCAGCAACCAGCAAGCAGCAGCAACCAGCAAGCAGCCAAGAGCCAGGCGCAGATGAGATGCCAGCAGCAGCAGCAGCGACCAAGCAGCAGCAGCAGGTACCGAGGAGGAGAAGGGTGGAGTTGAACCCCGCGAGGGGGGGGGGGGTGTAGTCCTGATATATCAGGTGAAAGCACTCAAGTCCTGGGCTCCCACCCTCCTTGCTAAAGCAAGACAGACTCCAGCTAGCTACAGTTACAGCTAGCTTTCGTGATTAGATCTAATTAGTAACAATTACTAGGGGCTCTTGGCATCGCTACGAACGGAGCAAGGACGCTACGAACGGGGCTCCTGGCCTTACTACTAGGAATCAAGAAGCTAGTAGCTCCTGGCATTACTACTGCGGTGTCGCCAGGCGACGATCGACTGTTCGTCCATTTCACCCGGAATCCAAGGGGCAAAGGCTCGGTGCCATGACCGTGGACCAAAAGCCTTGGCAACGTTAAAGAGTTCAAATATGTTCAAATCAGATTGCGCAAGCAGGTGACGGTCACGGACAGAACTTTTCAGTCCCACAAAACAATCCGTTGGCATGGAAATGGACAAACCATGACGAAACCAAAGCTAGTCTTGTGGGGCAAAGTAAACATTAATCTGCACCAGGAGTCTCCACGACAATAGGCTATTGAGCCACACATCTTCACCTTCACAAGCAAATTCCCAATGACCCACAGGTACCTGCCATACTCTACGACACATTTCGGCCCTGTTGCCATCGGTAGGAGTAGGTTAGGGGCCATTGCTATCAGCAACTCGAAAAGAAGATCGTTTTCTTCCTTTGTACAACTAGTGCCAATGTACTAGTTTTTAGTTAGCATTCTTGCTACTAGATTGGTTTTCTGCCCAAAAGCGGCCAGCAACTCTGCACCGGCCGCGCGCAGCGGCCGCAGATGGGCGCCACCTTCGCCGTGGCGTCGCCGTAGCGGGAGGCTTTGGGCACCGGCATCGTGGAGGGGCCTCGGCACCCGGTGCCGGCGCCCAGGTGGCATGACTTCCTTCGGTACCTGTGACATCCTGTGACATGAGGCACCATGAGGGGGTCAAAGCTCACATGAACCACTCTGGCCCGATCATCCAAGGGCACTCAAAGCTCCGATGAATGAAGCGCACAGCGGATGGCACTGACATGAACATCATGACGCCAAAGGAGCAAATATTGATGGAGTTGAAGCAGTTCACAAAGTCCTCCAGCGGCATCCTCGGATCGACTCAAATGGACGGCTACGCATCGCAGGCTACGCAGGTGAATTCCGTTTCCACACACAACCCCCCCGCTCAGCATCTTGGAATCTCACAGGTTCACAGGAGTTCACCTGGAGTTGAGCGCTCAATCCCTTTCGGCATTCCCCATCCTCATCTGAAACCGATCAGAGACGCTTGCAGGTCCAGCCAAGGTGCCAAAAGGACCCATCGGCCGGCCCCCGGTCCGCTGGTCGCCCGCCCCGCAGTGCCAGATCGGCTGCCACGTGGGGATGGTCGCCCCAGGCATTGGAGCGACGTGACCAGCGTCCCGTCCACTCCTCCTGCAGCGTCAAAAAGCGGCAGTGGAAGCCTCAATGGAATCCTACGAAAGGAGGCAGGTTTCAGCAGCTTCTCTACTCCCATCTCTTTTGTTTTGTCTGATCCGTATGCTGCTGACCTTGCCCCAAGGATTGCGCAGCCGAATCAGCCGAAGCCCATGCACTTCTTGCACCTCCAAGACCTCAGCAAACGGCCGGGTGCAGCTTCGCACCGGGCGAAGTAGAACAACGCCGGTCGTCATGGTGCAAGTCTCCCTCTCACGGTGATGACCGTTCTCTTCTGGCCAAAGGCACCGGTAAAGGTCCGGTCATGGTGAACGAACGACCGTCTTGTGTTGGAGTACGCGTTAAACATCGAGCCACTCCGACTAAAACAGAAGGAAGATAACAAAGTAAAAGTACACTCCGACTCATTCACATGGAAATGCCAACCACCCTGTTCCTAGAGGACAAATAGTACTCCAAGGGTTCATTTTACACTTCCATGTTCCTGAGTTAGTGTTGTGTGCAATCGCCCTTCGTGGCCTTTCTCGTTTTCACCTCCCCCGTCCCCGCGAGACGCCGAGTACCGAGACGCCGAGTATGCGTGGCCTTCCAACAGCCCATCGCTCCGGCGGCGTTCGAAGAGACGGGTGGGATCGGACGGTGTGATGGAGGCCGCGAGCAGGAAGTTGGCCTGCTCGTAGTACCTCTTCAGGTGACAAAACGATGCGTGTGCTGGAGAAACGGAAGGTGCTGGAGAAAGGCATTGGGAGACTTTTTCTCCGATACTTTCTTAAAACAGGTCCTTTGCACCTGTGCGCTGCTGTTTTCCTTTGTAGAACTCAAATGATGAAGAACGTCACCAGCTGTGGCTGACACAAAGACCCAGGCCCGCATGGTCTTCTCATCAACCAGAGTTGGGTTGCATCCAGGAGGCGCGAGACGGAGAAAGAGGTTCTCGTTGTTCAAGCGCTTGCGGGTACGATGATGGATGGCCTCAGGTCGGCAGGTCGACGATGGCCTCACGACCGCCATCTGGGACTGCCATATGTGCCAATCAGTTGGGGTGGTGCCAGGGGGGTTCATGTAGACATATATCATATAAGGACGCCACGAACGGGGCTCCTGGCATCACTCCTAGTAGCATTCTTACTACTAGGAACAAGAAGTTACTAGTAGCTCCTATGCCAGTCCGGAGTGTTTAGAAACCTCGGAATACTCTTGTGGCGTCGAGAGGTTTTCATCAGGTTTCATCTCGCTGACCGTATGTTGTAGTGCCTCAAGCTCTTCGAAAACGAGTGCCGTGCCGATGAATTGCTGAACCCATCCAGAGATTGCGCTTGCTGGGCAAAGCTTGCAGAAAGACTGTAACACTCTGGGCTTCTTTCATCTAATCATGCGCTCTAAGAAAAGCGAGATGGCACCTTGACCAGCCAAATTCAATCCCTTCCAACCCCAAACGCAAGCAAAAGCCAGCGATGCCGAACTCGATCCATCTCCACCCATCCCTACACGCAGTTCACACACGGTTCACAGCTGAGCGTCTCCCGTGAGCTTGGAGTTGTCGAAGCGAGGCATTTCGAAACGCAGCAACCGCCACATGCCATCCGATTCCTCAAAAAACCAACCCGCTCCCTCCCCCCTCCCCCTACCTACGGAAAAACAAGTAGGCGCCTAGGTTAGGATTCTTTCTGGGTAGGACGCAGGAGAGTGAGCTTAGCTTCTTCAAGGGAGCCTTTTTGCGCCTGAAGGTTCCTAGATGTTCGTAGATTTTTAGGGAAACTTGGCCTCCAACCTACAAGAAAGTGAAGTGCATACTTTCAGCACTTTTGTTATCTGTCAACTACCTTTCAAGACGTCTTTTTCACACTCTTTGGCCGGCACTTGGTTTTGAAGTCATGAGCCCTTGCCAATCTAATCTTTGACATCATGTTCATCTCACCACACCGGCCCAGTGGCCTTTTGCCATCTCAGCTGCTCGCGTTGCCCTGTCAAAGCCTCGCACTGTCGTACATGAGGGAGATACTGCTTGCTAAGCATGACTGTGACCAACACCGCTTTTGAGTGCGAACTGCTGCGGCCCACGGGTTTCAGACTGGTTCCTACAGAACGTCTCCATTCTTCTCCGCTGGAGAACCCAACGCTGCTGTGAAACCACGTTCGCCAACTCTCACCGCCCTTGATGCCTGGAAGGCCACTTCAGGAATGCCACCCTCTAAGGCGCCATAGGACCCTGCCACCTTGGCAAAGGCCTCCGGTCCGAACGTCATGGATGTGCATGGGAAGAGGGCCAACACACCAAATGGCCTCTGAAACGGGGGAGGTTGGTTGTTTCAAGCGGGATGAGTCACACATAGAATAGATGGGTTGGAGAACCATGACTTGAAGGACAGTCCCTATTGAATCAAAGAAGCCCCTGAACTGCGAAAATGACAGGCAGTATGGTTGCTGCACTCAGGTGGGTGCCGATGAAGGACACCGTCAACCTCCTCTACTTGTGGCATCCTACACCGCGTTAAACACACCGTTTCCCTCGGCCTTCTCCAAGAGCAAGGGCCACACTTCACCTCCCACCGGCTGTGAGAAGCCTCCAATGAGCCACAGCGGGGTAGGCAAAAACAAAAGAAGCAACAGCCGAAGTCGGAAGATTCTGCCTCGAGAGCAAAAAGCTAGTATTGTGCAGTGGGCGCGTTTCGTCTTTTTCTCCACCTTGTGACATGAATGAATCAAGCGAACTTGTGGGGTCAACCAACACCGGCGGCTGCAATGAGGGAAGCAACAACTTTGTGGGATTTAAGTGGATAAACAAACAGCCCCCCAAAACATTAAAGGCTCGAAACCAAAAACGCCAGCTTACTCCAAGAAGCAGGGCAAGTCCTTGTAATTCACCAAGAACTTCCTCGACACACTACACTTTGTGCTGGGAATCCGTGAGCACATGCTGTGGCCTCCTTATTCTGGTTGGAGATGAACGAACGAACGAGTGTGACGTGACTAGTTCTGCGTTGGCACACCATCTCTGCAAACAGCATATCACCTCCATGTCGCCGCCAAGGCTCTGTGGGATCCATGGCACTGACATGCACGGGATGAAGTCATCAATCTCCACCTGAGCGAGCTTCGGAGAACGCCACCATCTGTGGGATCAGCTCTGAGTAAGAAGAAGTAGCAACTTTTCATTCATTAGGTGGCATCCCAAGCCTTTCCCGAGGCAAAGGAACAGAAACCCCACAGGACAGCCGCAGAGCCCCTGAAGCACTCAAAGGCCTCCCCACCCCAAGGGTGTCCCCGCCGCACCGTCAAGGTGCCCTGCGCCAACCGCTCTTGGAATCGAAGAGGTGGATCACATAGCGGCCCTGTGGTGATAAGACCATGGGGTCAAAGAGCATCTCCACCTCAGACTCGGTACATCTGGGTGGTCAGAAGCCATAAAGGTCAATGAAGGTGATTCATGGAGAAAACCGATGAACTGCTACTCCAAGCTGGACAGAATGGTGGCAGAATGACCGGCACCGCACACACAAAGGTTTGGGCAATGAAGAGCATCCTAAGCGACCACAGAAACTCCTATCTGATCTTGACTATTAGTCCCAATCTCAGGAAGCACCGTGCTACCTGTCACCAACCTTCAAATGCTCAATCCAACCTGTTGTGCCAGTTTAGATGCCCAAGGCACATGCCCAGGAAAGTCAGCCAAGCAAGCAAAGGCGCCCACCAGCCAACAGTCTCCCAAAGCACCCTGCTTGACCTGACAACGGCACAAGATGGCAAGGTTGGAGAGGCGATTGCTAGTAACAAGAAGCTACGAACGGAACAAGGGCATCGCGACTTGAACGGAGCGATCGGACGAAAAACGAATGTAACAAGTTACGAACGTGGTCAAACATACATCGGTCCCCGTCAGGTGCATCGCCTTGGCCGCTCCACCGTTCTGCCCGAAGAGCCGCACGGTGCCGTGGCCCCGCAGCTGCCCGGCGCGGCTCCACACGACGCGGCCGCCCACGTCGCGGCTCAGGGCGCCCAGGGAGCTTGGCACGGGTGGGAAGGCGGCGTCCTCTGGCAGGGGAGGCTCAAATAATAGGTTCAATGGACTTGGAGCAGTTGGGAAAGAAGATCTTTGTTTCAGTTCGTGTACCTGACTAGTAAGGAGAAAATGGTCAAGAGTCTTGGGTCAAAGGTCAAGACTTGAGGCAGCTTAAATGTCATCGCTATCAGGTTGGATGGCCATCACTATTCAGTTCTTGTGCTAAAGAAAGTCCTGAAACTGACTGCACCTCACACCGCTGCTCGAGAGCTTGCGGGGCCAGCGCCAGCGTAGGTCCACCAGTGCACAACCTGAGCGCTGCAAATGATCCAAGCGAAGCAACACACGGAAGCAAAGCACAAATCTTTTGCAGTGTTTTTACTATAGACTAGGTCTAGCACAAGGCTGAGGAGAGACCACCGCCAATACAACACTGGTCAGGGTCCAAACGGCTGAACTTGTTTTTGTCTGATCTTCTTCCGTCAGCACACCTCTTCTTTTCCAGGGGCTCCTGGCCTTACTACTAGGAGCAAGGATGCTACTAGGAACAAAGGGCATCGCTACGAACGGAGCAAGGACGCCACTAGGGGCTCCAGGGCTTGTCACATTTCCACAATTGACTGTTCAAACCGGCCACTGGCATGCTCGCCCGTTGAAGTACCTCACCGTTGAACATGACTGGACCTCTCTGCACGAACATGAGGGGGGCTCTGGATTCTGCAAGCCCAGCCACCCAGCATGCCGCACGCACACAGGGCTCCATAGGCAGAAATCCATTTGGAAAACAATGCCTGGCCTGGCCTAATAAAGTGGCCCGCTGTTGGGTTGGGCGAACCATCTGAAAAAAGCCTCTAGATCCATATGGTCGTATCGTTTTCCTTCCGGTAGAGTGCTTGTGATTTTCTGCGCTTCAACTTGCACTGTTGGTTTGTCTATCCGCATTTCACCACCGAATGTCATAGACTCTACTACATGATGTTGGCGCAAGGCCTTGGGCCCAAAGGTTGGAGCTGACAACCTTCCGAAGGAAAGAGAGTGCCACGAACCGACCTCCCAACCCTCACATCACAATAGTCAGCTGGGAATATAGCATATGGGTCCCAATTGTGGGGTTCGCTGCGGCATAGTACAGTACACACACAACAAGAAAACACCAGTAGTTTCCAACGATGTCGCACAATTCCATATTTCTGAGATCGGCATCCTCAACCCACATGCGCGGGTGGCCTTCGATGGTCTCATAAGCCACCTGCTTAAAGAAGACCTCATAGGCACCAGCAGCAAGCAGCTGAACGAACTGTAACTGACCAAATGCAACCTCACGCCTGCAGAATCCTAGCTAGTTGGTGCTACAAGCTGCTTCTGCTCCGGAAGCTGCCCAAACTGGCAAGTTTTGGAAGTACACACGTTACTGGCAGGTTCAAAGTACGCTCATGAGGACTCAGTATCCTGAGATTAGTTCTAATGACATTCGTGAAACATGTGAGAATGGAAGCTTAACTTATTGGTGTGCCTTTCTTCCATCACCGGGTAGTTCTTTGCAAGCGAACTATCGCTTTTCTGCATCCATCATCAAGTGGGGGCTGACCTTGAGGCATGGACCGCATTGACTCGACGCCCAAATGCCCTCACCCCCGATCTTCTAGGCTCTCCCAGCTGTGGTCTTGCCGATGGCATACAGCGGTTGACTAGCCGGCCACTTCAGCTCCTTGCGACAGACTCGGAACGAGAAGGATTCCGACAATGGAAAGGGGTCCAGGGTTATAGTTGTTGCAATCCGAATCATTTTGGGTCTCCGGATGAAATCCTCGCGGTTGATCGATCATCTGGCACTGATCCAGCGTAGACCTTTCCTCAAACAGCCCAGGTTGCCAGCCTTGGACAACTGCTGCAGGGATTCCTTCAAACCTGGCACGTGACACCCCGAGCCAACCTTTGTTTCGGACTTGACCTCCGCCAAAAGCAAGCAAGCAAGCAAGTGCTTGCTAGACGCATTGCGAACCGCGGCACACATGGAGTAGTGCAACCTCTTTGTGTATTCCTGTGAAAGCATGAGTAGTCCAAATGCGTGGCGACTCACGTACAAAAGATGGTGCCAAAGCGGCAGGCTTCCAGCTGCATGGCCCCAAAGCGCTTTCGCTCGTCCTTGGACCGGGAACGTGGAAGCGACCCACCTGGAAAGTCCTCCTTCGGTATCGCACCTTCCATCAACAAATAACTCTTGGCGGTGTCCATTCTTGTTACATCTTGTTACTAGTAGCGTCCGATTGCTCCTACTAGCGATGCCCTTTGCTCCTAGTAGCAAGGCCAGGAGCCCCTAGTGGCTTCCTGTTCCTAAGCAAACAACATAAAATAACTCAAGGTGTCCATTGTTTGATGATGGTTTCGGCACCGGCCAAAGGAATGGTCCAAGAAAAGCTGACCGGGGCGCAGACGGATCTGAAGATCAGGCTCAAGAAGTCCTGAGAAAACGAAAATCGATCCTGGGCGGCTGTATAGCAAATTAGAGTTGCAATCGATGTGTCACTTCGAACACAAATGGTGATATCACAAAGAACTGCACACCTTGGTGATTCAAGCTTCCTCAACCGTTTTTGTTTGCTGCTAGGGGCTCCTGGCCACACTACTAGGAGCGATCGGATGCTACTAGGAGCCAGGAGCCGCTGGTTCCTAGTAACGATGCCCTTGCTCCTAGTAGCGTCCTTGCTCCTAGTAGTAAGGCCAGGAGCCCCCCGTAGCTTCTTTGCCATCTTCAATTCCTGTTTTAGATGTCGGTCACTGCCCGCTGGCGAGATCGGTCCTTCCAGCAGGACTTCAGGGGGCTCCTTCGTGTTGGCGCTGGTGCTGCCAGTGTCTCAAAAAGCTCCACATATCATATGCATCTCTCACCCGGCTCAAGCCCTCCGAGTCCCTCATACTTTCAAACATACTTTCTCTACAAGACCCAGAACTGAACACTGCCAAACGTCCAAACCGTTGCAGTTTGGTTCTCCAAAGCCCCAGCCGCACGTCTTTTCTTCGTCTCAATGAGTCACATGAGACCGTCTCCCCGTCCTACAGGGGAAACCCGCGCGCTGCACGTGAAGCGCTTCGATGACGCCACCGGAGCGCAACTGCTCCACCACCAGCTGTCGCTCGATGCGATCTGGGACAGGGGCGAGAAGTACATCGGACAGCGTGGGCGAGTCAGCATGGGGACCTCTAGCGACTCTGTCAGCATGTGAATATCTTGGCATCCAGGAGGGGTCCTCTTGTGGCTTGGCATGGCTAGCCATGGCTATAGACATCAGTTTCTTTGATCTTTCTGTGATCCTTTCGTGTGGAACACGACGTGATCTTGCACACGTTCCGAAGACAAACGTTGGGCCCGCCTGGCAACTTCTCGGGATTGGGCTTGATACAACGTACCTGGCAATGCTCTTTCAACAAATGTCGGGGCATTGCAGCCCTTCAGGGTTTGCCTGCACAAGGATGGCAAATCCAGCAGCTGTCAAGGGTAAACACAATAATCCGTGACGAGCCCAGGCTGAACTTCGCAAGTTAGAGAACCCCTCACGGGCGGCATGGCACAGTCGAGTCATTCGAACACGCTCTGGGTACAAAGTGAGGTCCAGCTTGTTTCATCTTCGTCACCTGAGCAATCAATCAGCAGAAGTGATCTCTGGCTGCTCAGAGATATAGGATACCCGACTGAGAACCTATTGATCATGAGGAACATGCACAATTACACCGATCCAGTGATGCATCATTTTGAAGCTGCCGCCGCTGCCCCCGACAAACGTCTTTTTGCATTCAAGGCGCGAGTGACTCGAGCTGACCTTGGAGAACGATGCGACTCAGAACATTGATGATATTGATACATATTGATACCACTTCACACAAACAGTTGTGGGCTTGCCTGAGATATGCCGGAATTGTTGCAGCAATAGGTCTTCGTCTAAAGAACTTGCACAGCAAACTCAGCTAGTGAAACCAAACTTCTTCCTCCAAGTCCATTCATTCACACCCACTCAAACAAGGAGCCTTTGAAGTCTGCCGCCACCTGAGGCGAGATCGCGAAGCTGCTGATGTCTTTCTATGTGAAATGCTCGCCCAATGGTTCTCCAAAGTTGAGCTGCATCTCACTAGCCACACCCAGAAACTGCTCAAATCATGCCTTGTTCTACCCGCCCAGCATACGCAAGCCCATCACAAGCCACTTAAATGGTCATTCCAACCAAGCAATTCAGCCCTCGTTGCAGTTCAGGCACTGTGTGGGGCTTCAGGGTCTTGGCACGTCCTCCAACCTGATCATGCAAGATCACTCGAACTCCTTCAACAACCTAATAGCTTCTTGCTCCGTTCGTAGCGATGCCCCTTGTTACTATAGTAGCTTCTTGCTACGCATCGGGTGGCCCATGGGTCGACAACTCGACGCCCACCGTGTTCGACTGTAGTTTGACTCATCGGACTTCACTGCCTGACGCTTCTGCTCCGAGGGTGATTTGGCCTCAGCACGGTGAAGCAAAAAGGCCGAAGGCCCCTGATAAACAGGCAATGCGCTTGAGATAAGGATGTCCATAAACAGTATTAACATTTCTTCTACATCCCTCCAGCATGAATGGGCGTGAAGGATCAGTTACATACCGTTAAATATCCCGATTTGTACGATCTGAGTCTGGCATGCCCACAACGATCACAACACAACTGGCCCTGGCTAGCAGCTTTCCTTCCACAACTGGCCCTGGCTAGCAGCTTTCCTTCACACTCACCCTTTATTCATATCCCAGCAGCATTCTCGGTCACTGCACGCTCCAAAAGGCTTCGTACAAACTGATTGGAGGAACCCTCGATGGCCTGCCTGCGAGGGTGCGTCTGGCTTGTTTTTGCAACTACTGTTGCCCGGAATGGAAAGTGCACGCCAGCCTAGATGCCAATTCCCAAATATGTTTTTCTTTCCCTTCTAGATTCTTACTAGACCAGGTCAACGACATCCCATCACTGCACGAAGTCTGATTTCGTTTGTATGTCCTTGTCTTTACTGAATCTTGGGGTGTCGGTGTCAGCAAAACCTCTGCCGCACCTCAATAGTTCGCCAAGCTCATCCATGTTCTTGTCCTTGCGGTCATGTCTGGTCAAATGGGATCGTTCGCAACCTGTGTCAGGCCATGGAAAAGGCCCGTGTCGAGCTCGCTTCCACCAAAAGCAGGGAAAGACGAATGGACCACCTGAGAGACTAAGGAGAGATTTGTCCGCTTCGTGCTACAAGTTACACGTGTTGCCTTCCCCTTCAGTGCCTCTTCAGTACAAAGTGGATCTGGACATCTGCGCAGGGAAAAAGCAAAACATGATAGCACATGATCGTCTGCAAAGGTGCGAAGAACACCGTGCCGCAGGGGCACAGCCCGATCAACGTCTTTGGTCCCAAAGACGGCCCCGCCCCTCGTCGGGCCCAGTCCATGAAGCTCGTGGCGTCATAGCTCACGGGTCCAGCGAAGTGCACCACGGTGAAGCACATGTTCTTCCGTGCCCTGGATGGCGCCGGGCTTTTCTCGCGTTCTGCCGGTGTTTGTTTTCCGCGTCGGTTGGGCGAATCCAGTGGCGTCGGCCGAACGGCGTGGGCCAAATCCGTGGGCGAATTGAACCGTTTGGCGAACTGCTGCGAACGCCCTAAGCTTGGACGGTTCAGCTTTTCTAAGCGCTGCACTCGATTCGGAAGTTCTCATGCTTGTCAAACTGCTTCCAGAGCTTTTGCACCTCATGGGCACAAGGCTCGTCCGTGTCAATGTGTCAATGGCGCAAATGTGACCCAAACTGGTCGACCCAGCTCTGAGAAGTCAAAACTG